AATAATGAGCCACTGATAAACACAACATATTTATAACTTGTATAACATTTTATTTATGTGCATTCTTTGAGCATTATGCAATGTGTAATTAAAATTTTTTAAATTAAAATTTAATATCTTTATTTTTTGTCAATTGATTTTTCCGCCATTAAAAAATTTGCGAATGATAATTGTGCATATTCATGGGGTATATAGTGATGCTTCAGTACATATAATATATAGTGATCAGATCTGGGTAATTAGCATATCCCTCATCTCAAACATTTATTATCTTGTGCTTTTTTTTTTTTTTTTGAGACGTAGTTTTCCTCTGTTGCCCAGGCTAGAGTGCAGTGGCGCAATCTCGGCTCACTGCATCCTCCACCTCCCGGGTTCAAGTGATTCTCCTGCCTCAGCCTCATGAGTAGCTGGGATCACAGGCACCTATCATCATGCCTGGCTAATTTTTGTATTTTTAGTAGAGACGGGGTTTCACCATGTTAGTCAGGCTGGTCTTGAACTCCTGACCTCAAGCAATCCACCTGCTTCGGCCTCCCAAAGTGCTGGGATTACAGGTATGAGCCACTGCGCTCAGCCTAAACATTCATTATCTTTTTGTGTTGGGAACATTCAATATCCTTCCATCTTTTGGAAAGTGTAAAATATACTATTGTGAACTATAGTCATTCTCCATTGCTGTAGAACACTAGAACTTATTCCTCCTATCTAGCTGTAATTCTGTAACTTTTAACGAATCCCTCCCTATCCTTCTCTTCCTGCTACCCTTCTCAGCCTCTAATATCTTCTATCCTACTTTTTACTTCTATGAGATCAACCCTGATACACTTTGGATGTTTGTGCCCTCCAAATTTCATGTTGAAATGTGATCTCCAGTGTTGGAGATGGGCCTGGTGGGAGGTGTTTGTGTCATGGAGTGGATCCCTCGAGAATGGCTTGATTCTCTTCCCATGGTAATGAGTGAGTTTTCGCTCTATTAGTTCACGTGAGAGCTGGTTGTTTAAAAGAGCCTGGCATTTCTCACTTGTTCCCTCTCTTGCCATGTGACATGCCTGCTCTCCCTTAGCCTTCTGCCATGATTGTAAGCTCCCTGAGGCCCTCACTGGAAGCAGATGCTGGCACTAAGCTTCTTGTAAAGTCTGCAGAACCATGAACTAAATAAATCTGTTTTCTTTGTAAATTACCCAGCCTCAGGTATTCCTTTATAGCAATGCAAAATGGATTAAAACAAACTCATTTTAGCTTCCACATATGAATGAAAACATGTTTAACTTTCTGTTCCTGTCTTATTTCACTTAACATAATGTCTTTCAGTTCCATCCATGTTGCCAAGAATGACAGGATTTCATTCTTAATGACTAAATAGTATTTCATTGTGGATATATACCACATTTGCTTTATCCATTCGTTTGTTCTTGGACACTTAGATTGATTCTATATCTTGACTATTATGAGTAGTGCTGCAAGAACATGGGGGTGTAGATGTCTCTTTGAGATGCTGATTTCCTTTCTTTTGGATAAATATCCAGTAGTGGGATTGCTGGATCATATGGTTGTTCTATTTGTAGTTTCTTGAGGAACATCCATACTGTTCTCTATAGTGGCTGTACTGGTTTACATTCCCACCAACAGTAGAGTTCCTTTTTCTTCACATCCTCACAAGCATTTGTTATTTATTTATGTTTGTCTTTTTGATAATAGCCATCCTAACTAGGGTGAGATGATACCGCATTGTGATTTTGATTTGCATATACCTGATGATTAGTGATGTTGAGCTTTAAAAAATATATTTTTGGCCATTTTTATGCCTTCTTTTGAGAAATGTCTGTTCAGATTATTTGCCCATTTTTATATTAGATTGTTTTTCTTTTGTTGAGATGATTCAGTTCCTTGTATATTCTAGATAGTAATCTCCTGTTGGATGGGTAGTTTGCAAACATTTTCTCCCATTCTGTAGGTTGTCTTTTCACTCTGTTGATTGTTTCTTTCTTTTATTTTTTTGAGAAAGAGTCTCACTCTGTTCCCCAGGCTGGAGTGCAGTGGCATGATCACAGATCACTGCAGCTTCGACTTCCCCAGACTCAGGTGATCCTCCCACCTCAGCCTCCTGAGTAGCTGGAACTACAGCCATACACCATCATGCCTGGCTAATTTTTGTGTTTTGTGTAGAGATGGAGTTTCACCATGTTTCCCAGGCTGGTCTTAAACTCCTGGGTTCAAGTGATCCTCCTCACTTAGCCTCCCAAAGTGCTGGGATTGCAGGTGTGAGCCATTGGGCCTGGTCTTGTTGATTTTTTTCTTTGCTATGCAGAAGATTTTTAATTTGATAAAATTTCACTTGTTTAGTTTTGCTATTGTTGTCTGTGCTTTTAAAATCTTATTCATAAAATATTTTCCCAGACTCATGTCCTCTGTTTTCTTCTCATAGTTTTATCATTTTTGGTCTTACACTTAGGTCTTTGATCCATTTAGAGTTGATTTTCATATAAGGCGAGAGGCAGGGGTCTAGTTTCATCCTTTTGCATATGGATATCCAGTTTCCCCAGCATCTTTTATTGAAGAAACCTTCTTTTCCCCAATTAGTGTTCTTGGGACCTTCATCAAAAATCAGTTAGCAGTATATATGTGGATTAATTTCTGGATTCTCAATACTGTTTCATTGGTCTGTGTATCTAATTTTATGCCAGTACCATGTTGTTTTGGTTACCCTGGCTTTGTAGTATATTTTGAGGTCTGGTAGTGTGATACCTTCAGTGTTGTTCTTTTTGCTTATGATTACTTTGGTTATTTGGGGTTTTTTGTGGTTCTATACAAACTTTAGGATTTTTTTTTCTATTTTTCTATTTTTATTCTCTGTCACTGGAATCAAAATACCAGTGACAGAGAAATGTCACTGGTATTTTGATAGAGAGAGCAGTGTTATTGTAACAATATTAATTCTTACAATCCATCAGCATGGGCTGTCTTTCCATTTGCTTGCATCCTCTTCAATTTCTTTCATCAATGTTTCGTAGTTTTCCTTGTAGAGATCTTTCACTTTCTTGGTTAAATTTATTTCTAGGTATTTTAATATTTTTGTAGTTATTCTAAGTGAAATTTCCTTATTAATTTCTTTTTCAGCTAGTTTATTGTTCATGTATAGAAATGCCACTGGTTTTTGTATATTAATTTTGTATACTGTAACTTCACTGAATTCATTTATTAGTTCTAAAGAGTTTTATTGCTAGAGTCTTTAGGTTTTTCTAGATATAAGAGCATGCAATCTGCAGATAGGGACAATTTAACTTCCCCCATTCCAATTTGAATGTCTCTTATTTCTCTGTCTTATCTAATTGCTCTGGATAGGACTTCCGGTGCTATGTTGAATAAGAGTGGTGACAGTTGGGCATTCTTGTGCTGTTCCATTTATTAGAGGAAAAGCTTTCAGCATTTCCCCATTCAGTAAGATATTCACTGTGTGTTTGTCATACATGCTATTTATTACATTGAGGTACTTTCTATACTTAATTTGTTGAGAAATTTTTTTATTATGAAGGGATGTTGAATTTTATCAAAAACTTTTTCTGCATCTATTGAGATGATCATGTGATTTTTGCGCTTCATTCTATTGATGAGATGTATGATGTTTATTGATTTGCATATTTTGAACCAACTTTGCATTCCTGGGGTAAATCCCACTTTATCATGGTATATTATCTTTTTGATGTGTTGTTTGGTTCTGTTTGCTGATATTCTGTTGAGAATTTTTGTGTCTCTTTTCATCAGAGATGTCGGCATGTAGTTTTCTTTGTTGTGTCCTTGTCTCATTTTGGTGTCAGTAATGAGTAGAATGAGTTAGGATGAATTCCTTGCCTTTTAATTTTCTGGAATAGTTTAAGAAGAATTGGTATTAATTATTCTTTAAAGATTCAACAGAAGGTGTGGGATAGGGGTAGGGAGTGCATATCTTATGCTTCTAGTCTGGAGCAATGCAGCTGTGCAGATTCCTGGCAGCTCTCCAAACTGGAATCAGGGCTTGCAAGAACTGTGAGATTCTCCTTTTGTAAGGACTGTAGGTGTTTGCTGTGTCAACAGGGGTTGATGAGGTCCTTCTGTTTATCTTTTCCATGCAATGAGAAGTCCCTCCTGACTCCAGGCAGATTCAATCTGAACAGGGGATACAGGGCTGCAGAGGCTGAGTGCCTGCATGCTGCCTTTCTGGACTGCCATTCACCACAGTTGCATCTTCAGTCCCCCACTGTACTCCAGCACCCTCCCTTCAACACTCCAATCAAATCTTATCTGTTTATTCATTGCCTTGGTCCTTTTCTTGGGTAGGGGGGGCAGGCAGAATTCCAGGCATCTCTAATCAACCATCTGCTGACATCACTCTTTCAAATGATCTGTAGTTTATTTTTATTTTTTTAAGAAAAAATTGTATTACAAGGATTCTATATTTATACCTTATGCTAGGAGACTTAAGGTCATTAAAATATAATAGAACCCCTACTTTACAACAGAAGTGGATATATAGTTATCTATAGCATGGTAGAATTCGAACATCACTTCTGTGGCTTTAGTAACTATGACTGGCTCTATCTGGATGTGCAATTGCTGAGGAAATGTTAAAATCAAAACTTGGGCACTGATTTTTTTAAAAAAAGTAATTATATAGAACTCACCAAAATTATAATTTTTTTCCCCCAAAATGCTTACTGTGCTTTTAAAATAATTAATAAAGTATCCCTCTGTGTGAAGATCATAATTATGACCATCATATCACTATGTCAACAATGATCTTTGAGAGTTAAAAGAATAAATGATAGGAGAGCCATCTTTTTGGTGCAAAGAAGATTCTTAGAAGTACCAACTGAGAGATAAAAGTGCTGGCCTAGAAACTAGTAACCTTCTCATGATGTCATTAAGGCAAAGGTTGACTACGACTGGAGCTAAGAGACACTGGAGTTATCTATTTTGCATTTCATGGTTCTTTTTTCCTCTCTCTCATCATTTTGGGTTTCCAGCTGAGACATTACAACAAAGATTAGAAGACCTGGAACAAGAGAAAATCAACCTGCACTTTCAGCTTCCTTCAAGGCAGCCAGCTCTTAGCAGCTTCCTGGTTCACCTGGCAGCACAAGTCCAGGCTGCCTTGCACCGTGGGGCCACTCAGCAGTGAGTACTTGTCATTGTCACCATTTTCCCCTCAGGTTTCTTCCTACCTCTCAGCTCCCACATAGTGAAGAGCTGGGAGGAGCTTAGCTGTAGAGACCCTCGGCTGCCTTTCCTGGGAAGGGCCCTTTGTTGGTTGAGAAGGTGGGGATTTTTCCAGAGTGAGGGATGACCCATGTGGGTCATGCTTCTCTAGAAAGAAGACTTTTCTGCTACTTGACAGAGAGAGACCCTCCTCAAGTGCAACTGCATCCCAGGTCTCAAGCATCTCTTGGGAAGCTACCCTTCTAAGAAGGTGGGGGTAATTTCCTCTTATTGAGGCAGCTTGGTGTCCTGTGATCATATTAAGCCTGTAAGATAAACAGATGGTCCCCTCTGACCAAGCGATGAAAATCTATCCTCCTCCTAACTCTACCTCCAGCTCCTGAGCAACGTTTGCTGTTTCTGTCACCCAAGGCTCTTCTGATATCAGTAATACATAGAGAGCAATTGCTGCTTCTAATCCAGTGGCTTGTAGTCCTGGCTGCATGTTTGAATAACTTAGAAAGATTTAAAACCTACCAATGTCCAGGCTCCACCCCAGGCAAGCTAAGTCAGAATGTCTAGGTGTGGGAGGCAAGGGTGGCTCCCAGATATTGGCATGCTTAAAAAGGCTGAGAACCACTGCTCCATCTACCTGTGTGTTCCCTCTCTCCCCAGGTAAAGGTCTGAGAGGGAACAGGTGTTTTATGAATGCTATGAGCCTCATCACAATTCAGGTCTCTTTCTACTTAGTTACCAACATGGCCACAACAATTACACTTTATTTCTCACTTCCAATTGACCCTGACAATCACAAGATTTTCTGGCCTATTCCTATTAAGTGTACATGGCATTATACATTTAGTTTATTTTGGTACCTCCCTAAAGCCTGCCTGCACAGTGAGGCCAATTATTTTCTCAGTTTTGCCAGTAGCATATAGCAGAGTGAATGGCACGTGGTAGGTGCTTCCTTGTAACTATTTGCTTAGTGAACTTTTTCATGGTTCTCTTCAATAGGGAGTAAATTTCACCTTGCCATTTTTATTCTTTTCTAATCTGATATTGAGACATCATTGCAACATTGCGTGTTCCTCTTTCTTTCACACATGAGACCACTCCCAAGTTGACTTTTTATGTAATTCTCTCATTCTTTAATCTTTGGGGTTATTTCTTGTCCTCTACTCCAGTCTTGGGAGATTTTTAGCATATAAAAATGGGGCACAAAAATTGAGGCACAATAAATTTAGCTAATTTTTTATGTTTCTATTTATTTAACAAACACTTTCATAACAGTTACTAAGTGCTTTAGAAGTTACTCATTTAACTTATTTCCATTTTTAAAAATTGTGGTAAAATACACATAACATAAAATCCATCATCTTAAGTGATGGTGATTGAGTGATTAAGCCATTATTAAGTATACAGTTCAGTGGTATTAAATACATCATAATGTTGTGCAGTCATCACCACCATTCATCTCCAGAACTTTTTCGTCTTCCCCAGGTGACACTTTGTACCCATTAAGAAATAAATTCCCATCCCTTCCCCTCTTCCAGCCCCTGACAATCACATTCTAATTTCCATTTCTCTGCATTTGTCTACTCTGTGTACCTCATACAAGTGGAATCATACAATATTTGCTGTTTTGTGACTGACATTTCTCATAGCATAGTGTCTTCAGTGTTCGTTCATCTGATAGCATGTGTCAAAATTTCCTTTCTTTCAAGGCTGTATAATACTCCATTGTATGGATAGACTACAGTTTGCTCATTCATTCATTTAAATAACTAATTTAATGTTCATGACAATTCTAAGGGGTATTATTATTTTATATATATTATTTTATATATTTTATTATATATAGTATTAAATATATATATTTTATATATTTCATATATTTATATATAATATTATTTTATACATTGATATCTATGTGTATAGAGATCCGTTATCTACATCTATGCCTGAATTTTAGGATGAGGAAACCAGGCCCAAGAGAAGCTAACAAACTTAGGCAGACCAACCAGCAGGTGAGTGCTGAGGGAGACAGAAACCCAACTGTCTGGCTTGCATCCTGGCCCTGAATCAGTGCACTGTGCTGCCTTTTAGCCCTACCTGCAATTTGGGTGGAGAGTGTATTAGTCCATTGCTATAAAGAAGTAACTGAGACTGAGTAATTTATAAATGAAAGAAGATTGATTGGCTCATGTTTCTGCAGACTATACAGGGAGCATGATGGTAGCGTCTGCTCAGCTTCTGGGGAGGCCTCAGGAAACTTACAATCATGGTGGAAGGTGAAAGGGGAGCACACACATTGCATTGCCAGAGTAGGAACGAGAGAGAGAAAAGAGGGAGGTGCCACACACTTTTAACAAACGAGATCTCATGAGAAGTCTATCATGAGAATAGTGCCAGAGAATGGTGCTAAACCATTCATGAAGTATCCACCCCCATGATCCAGTCATCTCCCACCAGACCCTGCCCTCCAACACTGGGGATTACAATCTGACATGAGACTTGGGTGGGGACACAGATCCAAACCATATCATTCCACCCATGTTCTCCCCAAATCTCATGTCTTTCTCACATTGCAAAATACAATCATCCATTCCCAATAGTCCCCTAAAGTCTTAACTCATTTCCAGTGTTAACTCAAAAGTTCAAAGTCCAAAGTCTCATCTGAGACAAGGCTAGTCCCTTCTGCCTGTGAGAGTTTGTAAAATATAAAAACAGTTAGTTACTTCCAAGATGTAGACATTGGGTCAATACTCCTGTTCCAAAAGAGAAAAATTGGCCAAAAGAAAGGGACTATAGGCCCCATGCAATTTGAAGCCCAGAAGGGCAGTCATTAAATCTTAAAGCTCCAAAATAATCTCCTTTTGACTCCATGTCTCATATACAGAGCACACTGGTGCAAGGAGTGGGCTCCTGTGACCTTGGGCAGCCCTACCCCTGTGGCTTTGCAGGGTACAGCCCCTGCAGCTGCTCTCACAGGCTGGCATTGAGTGCATGCAGCTTTTCCATGCTGAGGATGCAAGCTGCCAGTTGGATCTACTATTCCAGGCACTGCAGGATGGTGGCCCCCTTCTTACAGCTCCACTAGGCAGTGCCCCAGTGGGGACTCTGTGTGGGGCCTCCAACCCCACATTCCCCCTCCGTATTACCCTAGTAGTGGTTCTCCATGAGGGGTCCTGCCCTGCAGCAGACTTCTGCCTAGACAACCAAGCTTTTCCATACATCCTCTGAAACCTAGGCAGATACTCCCAAGCCTCAACTCTTGCACTCTGTGCACCCTCAGTCTTAACACCATGTGGAAATTACCAAGGCTTATGGCTTGCACCCTCAGAAGCAGTGGTCCAAGGTGTATCTGGACCCCTTTGAGTCATGGTGGAGTTGGAAAAACTGACAGCAGTGTGGGGAGCAATGTCCTGAGCCTGTGCAGAGCAGTGGGGCCCTGGGTCTGCCCCATGAAACCATTCTGTCCTCCTAGGCCTCTAAGCCTGTGAGGGGAGGGGCTGCCATGAAGGTCTCTGAAATGCCTCTGAGGCCTTTTCACCATTGTTTTGGCTATTAGCACTGAGCTCCTTCTTACTTATGCACATTTTTGCAGCCTGCTTGAATTCCTCCCCTGAAAATGGGCTTTTCTTTTCTACCACATGGCCAAGCTGCAAATTTTCCAAACTTTTATGCTTTGTTTCCCCTTTAAATATAAGTTCCAACTTTAGGTCATTTCTTTGCTCATGCATATGAGAATGGGTTGTTAGAAACAGTCAGGCCACATTGTGAATGCTTTGCTGCTTAGAAATTTCTTCCGCCAGATACCTTAAATCATTAATCTCAAGTTCAGAGATCCACATATTCCTTAGGGCAGTGGCACAATGCAGCCAAGTTCTTTGCTAAGCAATAACAAAATTGACCTTTACTGCAGTTCCCAATAAGGTTCTCATTTCCATCTGAGACCTCATCAGCCTGGCTTTCACTGTTGATTTCACTACCAGCATTTTGATCATAACCATTAAATCAGTTTCTAGGCATTCCCAAACTTTTCCTCATCTTCCTGTCTTCTTCTGAGCCATCCACACTCTTCCAACCTCAGCCCTTTACCCAATTCCAAAGCCACTTCCACATTTTCAGGTATCTTTATAGCAATGTCTCACTTCTTGGTACCAATTTTCTGTATTCGTCCATTTTCACATTACTATAAAGAAATATCCAAGACTGGGTAATTTATAAAGAAAAGAGGCTTAATTGGCTTACAGTTCTGTGGAATGTACAGGAAGCATGATCTGGCATCTGCTTGGCTTCTGGGGAGGCCTTAGGAAATTTACAATCATGGCAGAAGATGAAGGGGGAGCTAGCATATCACATGGCTGGAACAGCAAGAAAGAGAGAAATGGGAAGTGTTACTCACTTTAAACAACCAGACCTTGTGAGAACTCTATCACGAGAACACCAGAGGATGGTGCTAAACATTCATGAAAGATCCATCTCCATGATTCAATCCCTCCCACCAGGACCCACCTCCAATACTGGGGATTACAATTCGACACGAGATATGTGTGGGGACACAGATCCAAACCATAGCAGAGAGTGATGCTTTTATTGTGGTCTTGCCTAAGTTTTTGATAGAATATGATTAACTAAAAGCCAGTGTCATGCATTCTTAATTATATTAGGTTACACCATAAGGACATCTCTTACATTTGACTGTTTGAAACCTGTCAAACATTTTATGGGGTTTGACCTATTAAGGCCCCCAGAAAAGTATAGGTCTTTATTTAACATTTATCAAGCCAATATTAACTGTTGGCTTACTTTATGAGCTATCATCCTCTTTCCTTTTCCTCACAGGAGTTGTCTGTATACTGTGCTTTTATGTTCCATTCACTTTTTGAGCTCACTGTGACCTGATTTCTATCTCTATCACTCCTCAAATCTCTACCAAAATCAGCAATGACTTTCTATTTGTTAAATTTAAAAGA